GAACTCTGGTTATTTAGGACTTTCACCTCTAACAGCAAGAGGTTGCTGTCTCTCTGGTTGTCTGTGTACTAAGTTCTAGAGGGTGGTTGTTAAACGGAAGCTGTTGTTTGACTTAGAAAACAAATGGCAGTTGAGCAGGCTTAAGGAGAACTTTGCACTCAAATGTTATCACAGGGAGCAGTTTTTTTAAGCTAACAAACTAACACCGGTTTCCTATCAAATTGTGTTTGGGACAAGTGGAAGATGTCTGAGAGGCGCAAACTTCAAAAGGCGGTTTCTTTATTGCAGCACAGTTGGTGGAAAACAGTTATTTTATTTCTTCCCAGACAGTGATGGACAACATCTGTAAGAGGTCCCCTCAGGCTGTGCCTTCTCACACCTTGCCTCACAAGTGCATCCAGACATCACGTGCACCAACACAGAGAGAGGCCTAAGCCTTAGGAAGGTGTTGGAGGTTTTAAAAGCAAGGGAAAACAGCGATACTGCTTCAGCTGGATAAAAACATCCTTGTTTGGAAGGCTGCCTTTCAAGTCATTTCCTGTGCCCCCAGACCTTTCAACGCCCCTTCTCCCAGTGCCCTCCCCCTTGGTGCACTGTTGATCGGAGTGACAAGCTCAGACTCATCATCAGCTGTTCCTTTGTGTTCCACAGCACAATGACAGAGCATAGCTGATCCAGGTGTCCTCGGCCTGAGTAGACTGGAAAAGCTGGAATAGGGCAGGGTGTAACGTGAAAGGTCAACAGGTCTCCCTAGGTGACTGCCTATCAGTGTGATAAAACATGGCTGAGGAGGCATTAGACAGTATGTGGCTTTTAAATGCTTCTAAAAACCAATAACAGACAGCTTTTGTTATTAAAATATAACCCGTCGTAACTTGTGTTTTAAACATATTTTGCAAGGATTGTTGTTTGTTTTCGGGTATCAGAGTATCTGCTCCCGGTTTTTAGGTTTAAAAACCATGAAGAGTGTTAACTAAATGACATCAAAATACAGCGCTTTGAATTACACTGTCGTTGGAGAATCCTCTTTCTTGAAATTATTTGACTTCCTTCTGTAGCCTACTATTCAAGTGACTTTCTGGACTCTTGTCTCATAATGTTTCTTTCCATTTCCAAGGGGGAAAAATAGGACATGTTTAGGCAAAGTATCAATTCTTTTTCAAGAGATCAAGTGAAGCGTGCTTAAAAGCACAAAGGAACAAAATGGCTGAGACTTAAAGGCTGCAAGTTTCATTATCTCGTATCCTTTCTGAGGAAGCAAGGGGATTCTCCTGTGTCCAGCTATTTGCAAAAACCTCAGCATTTGGTATCTGCTCTGAACAACCCACAGGTTCTGCTCTGTGCCATCTCCCATCACTCTTATACATTTCTGTATTAAGAACCTAATTTTTGACAGTTCCTTTCATGCTCCTGAACAAGCAAGTGTCATCATTCAGCCTAAGCAGGTTATACCTACAGTACTAGAAAAATAAAACCAAAAGCCACATGGATTCATCTGAGTAGGAAGCAGGCAAAGGAGTTTAAATTTAGTTCTTTTTACCCATGAGCTCCTGACCATTTTTCTGTTTTCTGTCTGTCTTTCATGTGTGTGAAAATTATATTAAAAATAGAAGCGTTTATGAAAATCGTCTCTGGTATTTAAGAAGCTCCTCTTCTGAGTTTCTTAACCGAGAGATGTGTAAATTATCATTAGAACATGCACAAAGGTTTACTAATAAGAAGCTTTGCCAGAGAGGGATAATATACACTTCCATTATGTTTCCATTCTGCAGGCCTAGTAAGATATTTAAGAAGCCTTTTTTTTGCTGGAATAGTTCTGCAAATAAGTCAGAAACAATAACAGATGTGAATAATGATGACATTAATTAGGTAGCATTAGGAAGTGAGAAAAGTCTGTTCCATGAAAGTTAGGATTGGAAACGTCTCGGGTTCTGCAGATAAAAGCTGTGAAATGTGTAGAGAAAACTGCTGTGACAAGCAGTGGCCTTTCCAGGCATGATTTTTGCATGCTGATGATCATTCTTATCTTATGAATGTTCCTTTAGTTGTGTTCAAAGTGGTTATACCAGTATACTGGTCTAGGTTTAGGTTTTCAGGTTTTTTAGGGCATAAAAGGTCTATAATTTGGCTTGGGTCCTTCATTTGGGAAAACATCCCTAATTATTTTGAGGTGTTACTCTTCTTGATGTGAAGGCCTAGGCTGATACAATTTGGTTTTCTCATATAATCCCACTGGTTCATAAGAAGGCTCCTTCCTCTCTGTGTTTGTGCCCCTGTGTTGTAGTAACGATCCTGCTGACTACTGGAGTTGTTATTCATGGTGGTGTAAATATACACTGTGAGCTTGCTCTAACCAGCTCCTCCTTGATGCTTTACTGTGAGTTTCTGTTGGTCACCCATAAAGAACACCCATGAAGATGTCTCGGAGAAAGCCACAGCCTTTGGTTTGTCAGTTCAGTTAGTATTGTCCTCAGTTACCACAAGCTAAATTGGAGGTGAACAATTTAACAGAGATCCTAGTCTAATCCTAATTATTACCAGGAGCAATGTCTTAAGCACATGCTAGGTCTTCTTGACCTTTTTAAATAGTCTGTATTGTTTTACATTCAATTGCCTTAAACATTTTTACAAAACAGAAATTCTGCAGATTTTAGTAATTTCTCTGATTTTTAATTATCAAAGTTGGCAATAAGTTTTAGTTGGCCTCAAAGTACAATACATATATAATTTTAGGTATTCTTGTTTGAGAATGAAAAGCTCTGTTAGGAGTGACAAGGCTGAGTTCCTCTAATCCCCTGTTTATGAAGATCTCCTTCTGGTCTGGCTTTTGTCTGGGTTTCATGTTGCTCTGCCTCTGTGAAGAATATCCAAAGACTAACACAACAAGTATTTTGGGTGTGTGTTGCTGAGGTGTCTGTGCTGCAGTCAACATGTACAAGAAAATCCTTGTTTTGACATCATTTAAAATTGAAGTTTTTATTTCTATTGAAATTGTATTTGTAAAACATTGCATTTTTTAGTTGTGCAAATAAAACTAAAGCATGCTGAAGTAAAAAAAAATTTTTTAATGCATTCACGTGTCTCGGTGCTTGATTTATTGGATTTAAATGCGTGTCGGTTCTTGTTTGAGATCTAGGAATTCTAATTTTAGATTTTGTTGTCTTTAGCTCTAATATTCCAGGTAAATTTAGGTTCTTTGAGTATTATTATTTTTACAGTAAACAGTTCTTTCCTCTTCCCATACTTTCTACGGAATGTTGGACCAGTTATTAACTGAAATCTGTAATGTTATTATCTTTATTCAGGGTTTTCAGATAAAGTGCAAATTGCTGTTATCAAGGTCTGGAACACAGCAAAGCAAGCTATTCACTCCGTCTCTCAGATAGTTCTAGTTCTGTAATAGTCCCGAAGTCTGTGAGGCTGACATGTTGAAGCTGTGGGCAGGTAGTGGAGTCCAGGGTGTAACTGTGAATGTCTGATTCACATTGATTTGTTGCCATTAGCCTGCCTTTGAAAAGTTAGGATGTAGCTACTGATGCTGCATGTGATACAATTAGGATAGTGGTGGTCATAAAATTCTGAACCATTGTCACCTTCGGAAAAGTAAAACTGTTAACGCTTCCTTGTACATATGTTTATACTCCTAGTCCTTTTCCATTTAACTGGTAGGTGAAGTGCACTGCTGTAAGGGTGAGTTGGGAAAGACTAGGGCAGCATTTGATCTTTGCAGTTTATTTGTAACTTGGCTCAGTTCAATCACCCCGGAGTTCTTTTATTCTGAACTAGACTGACTACCGGTTGTCTTTCTATGGGGCAAAGAAAAGCTGTAAATTGCGGTTTGTTTGGTTTCTGCTTTGTCAAGAAAGGAAGTCCTCAGGATTAGTATTGTCTGTTGTATGCAGAAATTGCTCAGGGCTTCATCTTGTACATACTCTCTCTATCTGACAGGGCAGGGCTTGTGATAAAAATTGTGTATCTGTCTTAATATTCAAACACCGTCCCCAAAAAAATTCAGATGTGCTTTGGGGGTTACATTTTTTCCTTCATTGACTGCGCCCAGACCGTGTGCAATTTGTGCAGACGTGTCTTCAGTCTGTATGGAAATCATAACTTAAATAGCTATGAAAGACTTCTGAAGGACTTAGTGTTTATATCTTTTTTTTTCTGGTAAATGTCAACAATTGTGAATTTCTGTAAAGGTTTCAACAACAAAAAATACAGATAAAAGCACTGCCAATGCTTGCGTCACCGTGTGGAGAGCACTTTCCAAAAGCCTTTTGTCTCCCATTGAGATGGGGAATGGGATGAAACGCATAAAGCTGAGAGAAAAGACAACTGCTTGCTGAGAATGTCACGGTACATAGTTTACTGGTATGCTGGTACACCACTGTATAGCACCCAAGCACTACGGAAACCACAGCTTCCTCACCACAGTCATGGTGACGACTTTGTGCCTGACTGCAGCTTTCCTATAGATGACATCAGCCCAGTGAGGAATCCTCACTCGCCTGGATAATATTTCATAGACTTTATACTCTTGAATATGAATATATTAACGTGAAAGAGCAGAATACCACCAGCTCGGATTTATTCACAAACTCATGGAGAATCTGATTTGACCCTGTTCTGGATAAGTTTGATATTTAGATAAGCGTATAGTCTGCAGTGCACACAGAATGCTGCATTTTTTTTAAACGATTGTCCCATCAGATGCACACCTGAACAGTTTGCTTATGCCGTTTCTATGAAACCCCAATTGAATTTCCTGGGAGTTTGTGAGAACCCAAAGTACTCGAACTCAAAGTAAAGTCTTTCATGTAAGCCTTTTCTTGAACAGGGTTCCACTGCAAAGACCTCAAAGGCAATTTCTGGCAAAACCCTAGGCTGTTAGTGATAAATGCAGTTTGAAGTTAATTAAATGGCTTCTTTAAGTGAAGTTAATGCATCATCAGCCTTCCTCACCCTGTACATCATCTGCTTTTGTCTCACATTTTCCTCAGGGTCTCCTCTGCTGCTGTTTGCCAATCGAAGGGACGTCAGGCTGGTGGACGCCGGACTGGGCAGGCCGGAGTCTACTGTGGTGGTCAGTGGCCTGGAGGACGCAGCTGCTGTGGACTTCCTGTTCTCTGAGGGCTTGATCTTCTGGACGGATGTCAGCGAAGAGGCCATCAAGCAGACCTACTACAACCAGTCAGGGAATGTGCAGAGCGTCATCGTGTCCGGGCTGGACTCCCCTGATGGCCTGGCTTGCGACTGGCTGGGGAAGAAGCTGTACTGGACCGACTCGGAGACCAACCGCATCGAAGTGGCCAACCTTAATGGAACATCGAGGAAAGTGCTCTTCTGGCAAAACCTGGACCAGCCCAGGGCCATTGCTCTTGATCCGGCTCACGGGTAAATATTTCCTACTGCAAATATCATTACTGTCTTGTGACAGCAGTTCAGGGTCTGCCACACCACAAAGCTGGGGCTGACATGTCTGTGAGGGTACATGCTGTGTGTAGATGCTAGTGTGACAACTTGTGGTGTTTTTTTAAAACCTAATTAGAAAAATGGTAAAACGTTTTATAGGTCTGCACATACTTCTAACAAAATCAAGTTAAATTTAATCAACCATGAAGCTTAACTCTCCTTTCGGATTTTTTTTCCCCACAATGAATTGCAAAAAATAGGCTTCCTTATACTGACACTAATGGTGGTTTTCAAAAAAGCATGTACTTATGTAATGTGAGATTTATGATTTGGTAACCTCTACCTGTAAGTAACAGTATTTTCTTATTGGTTTGCTTGGCATTTTCTTTTAGAAACCAGAAGCGCTTTGTTGTAGAAATCTAACACTTAAATTTCCAAGCACCGTTGTCTGCCATTGACCTGTTTTTTTGCTGATCTGATGATACATTTTAATTTGGGGATTACAGGGGCTGATGGATTTTGAATGTAAATAATTTAATGTCTGCTCCCTAGTGAAAATGCATTTCCTCCTGTAGTTATTTCTTGCTTCAGTATGTGTGTTCAGATTTATGAACAATACTGTGACAAGAGAGAGAAAGTTACAGCCCGGCCAATAGAGCCACATACATTTGTGCAGCACAGTGCCAAGACAAACATAAAAAATCAGCATACTTCTGACTTTGACACTTTCAGTCCTCAGACATCATGGCGAATCTTCTGTGAAAGCAGATTGTTTTTTTCAAGCCACTTGTCAATGGCTTTAACATGCACGCAAACACAGGCCAAAGGAAAATAAAGCAGTCCTTCATAAATAACTTAATAAAGCTGTCCTTTAGAAAAAGTGGTGAACAGTTCATTCTGACCATGTATTAACTCATTCATGTAGAAATATTGACCTGTAGTTTGCAGTGAAAATTAAAATCATTTTTTTTATGAGCCAGTAATAGGCCAGGGTAACAATATTATACAGTAGCACCCTATACAACAGTGAATGAATTATAAAGAGGAATAGAAAAAAAAATTTTTGGTCAGTTTTGTGCAAATATCAGTAGATATAGGAGTAAAATGGAATTTTATGGGATTATTTTCCTTCCAGGGCAGCATGGTGGTGCAGTGGTTAACATCTCTGCCTTGGGGCCCTGGGTTCAGTTCCTGAGGTGCTGAACTCGGGAATAGTGGTATTTAATGTTCTCCCTGTGTTCACGTAGGTTTCCTCCCACAGTCCAAAAACATACCGGTAAGTTCATTGGCTCCTGGGAAAACTGGCCCTGGTGTGAGTTTGCGCAGATTTGTGTCTGTGTGAGCCTTGTGACGGTCTAGCGACCCATCCAGGGTGTACCCCGCCTTGTGCTCATTGCTTGCTGGGATAGGCTCCAGCTCCCCTGCAAACCTGAATTGAAAGAAGTGGTCTGAAAATGGAGGGATGGACCTTCTTCTTCCAAACTTGGGATTGCAAATATAATAATATGGCCCAGTAGCTGTGCCATGTGGCCACCTCAGGGCGATCAGCAGGGAACCAGTTCCGTCCACAGACCCACACTGTGATGTCAGACAGTAAGATGGCGCACGCTAGCCTGAATTAAAATCATACATGATCCCGTACATGCTCTGCAACAGGTAGTCACCTGACTAGCTTGAGTATTTCACAAATTGTCATGCAAAGCAATCCAGTCTCTGTCCCCACTCCCACAGTTCTCACATGATTCCCTCAGTCACCAGAGACAGATAGCTCCTGCCCACCAGGGTCGCATTCCTGCCGGTTGTTTCCATTAACAACTGATTAGCACTTAAGAAAAAGGTAATCTGCCTTTGAATGCAAATAATTAGTGTAATAAAGCAATTAAAACCGGCAGTAGAGTGAGAATGGGCCTTTGAGGTGTGGGGGGTAGGGGTAGCCTATCCCTGATCTAAATGACTCCACCTCACAATATACAATACTAAATGTTTAGTCTTTTTTCCAGTTTTCTTGGTTCTGACATTTCTAGGATACAGATAAGAAAGTCAGACAGCTTTTTAAGTGATACTGATTTAAGTTTCTTTAAAATTGCAATGCAACTGGGGTTAATTTCTAGTTATCTTTCCCATTGTCTAACCTGGAGCAGTTTTGCTAGACTTTGTTTTTTGTTTGCTGCCTTAATGCAATGTCACAGATCCATCTGCAAGTGTCTCAGCAGTCTCCACTGAAAACCTGATTACAGCATTTCAGTAATTCAGTTGGCAGAGTGAGATTCGAATGAAATCGGCTGTATTGAGTTATTATTGGTGGTTTAAATGTAATTTAATAACAACAAAAATGCATGGCATCATGCCACTTATACCCTATAGGTCCTACTACTGTTTTTCCTTTAGAAATCAAAGACATACACTAGCCTTCCAAATACTTCCTCCACCTGAAAATCCGCAGCATCACATCAGAGACCTCCCAAGCTCTATTTCTCTTTCAAGTTGGTTGTTAGCATTCGCAATAACCTAGGTGTGGTGTGAGCAAACATAGTTAAGAAAACAAAACAACAAGAGCAGACTTGAGCGCTTTGTTTAGTTTGGCGAATGCAAAGCACATTATACATGTAGCGACCACTGCATCTTTAGACAATGTTAATTTAGAATCTTTTATTTCCAGTCTGGTCCTTTATCTTATAGACTGCAGCCAGCAATGCAGCACAATTTTTATAGGCTACTTTGAATACTCAGACCTTTGACTGAATATTTAGTCTTATACTTATAAGTATTATTTATATCTGTCAGTGCAGCTCAGTAGATGGAGTCTCTGGTGGACTACCACGTCTACGATGTAGCATCTCTCTTAAGTTTGTTGAAAACACAGATCTCCTCGCAAGTTGGACTTAGATTCCTAGCTTAAGGCACAATGTGAGTATCTCTGCATCTGTGTAAAAGTCTTTGGAGATGTGAGTCATTGATGTTTTTTTCCCCATTTTTTGAGAGTCTGTTTATTGTGTCAACCCTGCGAAGGACTGGAGTCCCATTCCGGATGTATCCTGCCTCGCACCCGTTGTGTGCCGGGATAGGCTCCGGCTTCCCTGCGACTCTGAATTGGATGGTGGTGGTGGTTGAGTGCCGTCAAGTCAGTATTGACTCATGGCCACCGTATGGACAGTTCCACCGTCATACAGATCCATACAGTTTTCATGGCATGATCCGGAAGGAGGCCTTTCTTCCACGCCGATAGTGCGAGTGTTGTTGTCGTCGTCACAGATCTTTACTTTTAACAGTTGATTTCAGGGCTTACCTAGTGCCTTGCTCTCCTGTGATGGAGCCAGTTTAACTGATAGCCACCTTTTACAGCCTATCGGAGGGCAGACAGCACTTTTCTTTATCCCCATTAAGATACTAGCAAAGACCTGATCAAACAGCCTTTCTTCATGGCATAACCAAGAGGTGCTGTGCTTGTTCATTTGACTGAGCTCAAAATGGAGCATTTTGAAGGCGTTAATTAAGATAAATGTTCTGTTGAATTAGGCACCAAGACCAAAATATTAAGTTTAATTTCTGAACAGGTTTAAGTGTTCATTCTCAATAAACGCCTATGGCAGGTTGAATAAGCATGTGTATAAGTAACTGATTGTGTCACTACATCATACTTTACAGATCAAAAGGCTCTTCCAAAAGTCTGCTTTATTTTAGTCTAAGGAAATTTGTTTTAATTTTAAGCCTTGTTGGACAAAGGAACACATAGTGTTTGACAGGCCTAGATTGTACAGTTGAGCTACGTCTTGCATTCTAATACAACTCTTAACTGGGGATGTATAGTTAGTATAACAAAAACCGTAGTGTTAAAATATTGTAAATAAACAACTTTGAAAGTTAAACATAAGTGATCTTTCAGATAATTCTTTCAAAAACGTTATAATGGCTTGCAGCAACTACAGGTGAACTGTGAATCAAGGATTGCTGTACTGACCTCCTGGATTTGTAATCTCTTGGAAACAAGTCACTTACATTAGCAACTGTAGCACCTAAAGTTGTTTGTTAATATATATGTGCTGTGTTTGAAAATACCATGTTATAATAATCTGGGTGCTTAATCAAATCTGCAGCCAAGCAAAGGGTGCATATCCATTTGTGAAGCAGTCATAGTTCAGTATTTGAAGGTCTAATCAATCAGTGCATATCCACTGTTAAATTTAATTGAGTGACTCTATTGAGTGCCAATATAGTCACTGTCAATTATGCTAATTAAGATTAAGGATTAAACCATAGTGTTGTCTTCAGTGTTTTTGTTTGCTTTTTGTTGTCTCTTAATTGGTTTACTATTATGCCAATTAATCAATCAAGATTGAAGAGGCTGTGTAACACTTGCACACACCCATGTCCTACTTCTGCTTTGATTCTGTGGGGCAGAACTGCAGTGGAGAAATGCTGGTCCATTAGATAATGACTATTAGCAAACTAGTACTCATGACAAACTGAAAAAAGTAAGCATCAATTTGACTGCGAAATATGCAGCTTTATTTCAATGTCATCCTCCGGTGTGGAGCAGTGGTTGCATTTTGAACTTGTAGCTAGAAAGCTGTAGAAAGATACTGCTGCTGTACCCTTGAACAAGATGCTACACTCAAGGAAATGCTCTAGTAAAATGCACAGCTGTATAAATGTGTGCAAATGTATGTCAATTTGGATAAAAGCATTAGCACAATAAATCAGTAATTGGTTGGTAAAGAATTCTGCACCCTGCAGTAAAATAGGAGCAAAAAGTTTGACTGTTTCAGCTCCTCTCACTGTCACACTCACAAGTGTTTAGCACAATCTCTGCTCTTTGATAATTGTTTATAGCTCTGCAGATGCAAGCAATCATTTATTGGATCAAAGAATCTTAGTAAACGAAATGTGAAGCTGGAGCAAATTATGTGATGATATTTTAGCAAAACAGTCTGTCTGGAAAGTCATTGGACTTAATCCTACAAATGCTAGCGTTAGGAGCTTAAGTCAAAGTGGCACAAATAATATGCATGGAAGACAGGGCAGGCTCACCAGTGGAAAACCTCTTGATTCTCCTCTGGTTTTGAAATTTTCTGTCATAAACACTAGAATTCTAACTGATAAATTTACGGTGAACAAGAATTCTGTAAATGCGTGCACAGTCAATCATTTGTACTGTAGCATAAAGTCCCAGTTTTTCATTTCAGAAATCTTGGTAGTATCTTTTGGAAACAGTCACCATATCTCCTTATGAAGAATGACAGTGTGTGGATATACAGTATGTGTTCACGTATGGGCCTGGTATGTCTTAAATCACCTGACTGTAAAACTGTTTTGACCCTTCCTTGTTCTTTTCCCTTGCTCTCTGATGTCAAAATGTGATCACAGGTTTTCAAAAAACAAAGAAAACCAATTATTACCTCCAGTGCTATTCTGGTTTTACCTATACTGTACTTTGTTCATGTTGCCTTGTGTAGAAATTTCACCCTTGATTTAATTTCCAATAATTTCTCTGTATTGTAACAATGGTTGCTGCTGTTTCAGAAATATTTGAAGCAAATGGTAATCAGTCAAGTTTATAGATTTCTATCAAATTCAATAGCCATTATTTATCAATGTGGTGTTTTTAGTGTGTAAGTATGAAGTGGGAAAGAGTGTTTGAAGTGAGACAGGCCTGTCTGATAAGCCCTGCTTTTTAACTATTTTGCTTTTGATATTGTACTACATGTTTAGTCTAGCTGACAGGGTGGGTTTTTCATTCCTTGATTTAGTCCATTTTTCAAAACAGCTGTCATTCCATAGTTAGGACTAGCACTGTTTTAGAAGACTTGTAGGGGAGAAGACAATTGTAGTCTATTTCATTTCCATAGAGGCGGCTGAAGTCCTCTGTGTTTTCCTTTGTATTAAAGAGCACCTTAATTGTTATACTGGTGTTATTACTTTCTTTTATTTCTTCTTTAAAAAGGCTTTGAATTAAAAAAGAATAACTTTAAAACTCTAAAAAGGCCTTTTTGGAGTTTTCTATCTTATCTATACAGTTCTAACTTCAGTATACCATGGCAAGCTCTAAATAGTTTTGAATAGTTATCATTTATAGGGTCATTCAGACTCCTCAGATTACTGGCAATGTGTAAATCCTTTTTCTGTATAATTCAAATTAATGGAAAAAGAGATTGGGCCCTGAAATAAAAAAAAATCCTCAAATACTAATATAACGTGTTTCTGTTTGACAAATTGAATTTTCTTTGACACGGTTAAACAGGTTAGTATGATTTTTGTAGGTCATTTTCAGTACTAACAGAATATTAAAGAAATTTTGATTATTGCTTTGCTTGTCTGTGACTTTCTATGGAGACCATCTTTAGCTGATACAGACAGTGCTTGGTGTGATACCGAATACCAAAGGGGAGCATTGCTCCTAAACATCTTTATTTATGCAGAGAACCACAAGACAATGGTCTGCTTCTCCACAAGTCAGAAGGAAGTTAGATAATTATGCTCTATTGTGATGGATTCTTCTGGGCACGATTAAATGAATTCTGTGACTTCCCTGCACTGCAGTGGGGGTTAAATCCTGGCATCCTGTCTGCCTCCCTCAGGTACATGTACTGGACAGACTGGGGAGAGGAGCCTCGGATCGAGAGGGCAGGGATGGATGGCAGCAGGAGGGAAGTCATTGTGGACTCCGATATCTACTGGCCCAACGGACTGACCATTGACCTTGAGGAGCAGAAGCTCTACTGGGCCGATGCGAAGCTCAGCTTCATCCACAGAGCCAACCTAAATGGATCCAATCGGTGAGTGTCTCATGTGCATCTGAGGGCTCGAGGCCTCGGTTTCTCACTTTTCTTGTGGTGAGCGTCCTCCCGCTCTTCAGACACAGTAAAATGATTGTGGCAACAAACTTCTCAGGCTTTTGAAACAAGGCTTCAGACCAATCCAGCCGAGGCAGAATGGTACTTCTAGCTCTCCAATCCAAGCTCAAAGACCCAAATTAGAAAACAGGTCTTTGAATCAGGTGCTAGAAACAAGTTGAGTCCTCCTCTACGATTCCACCCCCCTGGAGCACTGGTCACGCCAGGGCAGCCCTGCCAGTCTGCCGTTTTTCTGCAAGGAGCTGAGAGAGCTGATTGAGTGGTTTTCAGTGTGCACAGGTCAAGGACGGACTTCAGAAAAAAACAAACCCAGCCACCAATGGCACCCACCCTTCAGATACAGCACTTGCAATGCCAGAGGTATTGGGTAGTGGGAAGGAAACATTGTGCACTGCGGTGGAGAAAAAAAAAAAGCCTTTTATTCATGGTGAGGTTGAATAATTGTAGTCCGTGACTTAATTCGTTTAAGAAAAACAAGATTTGCAAGATTTGAGTTTGCTAGATATGAGCTTTCCTCATATCGATCCAATCAAGTGCTTTTGACCATTTTTAGAATTAAAAACTTTGTTCATGGCAAATATATTTTCAAATAGGGTGGCTATATATTTTTTTTTTACATGTCCAATATCGAATGCAACTACTCCAAAACGTGGTAACTGCAAAAATGCATAGTCTCATTGAAAAGATGTGAAGGCCTAATTGTTACCAGAGACTATAGCTTCATTGTTGGCAATGTAAATCTCCGCTGTAACTTACATTGTCTGCTGTGTTAAAAATCATGTTCAGCAACCAAGTATGCAAGACCACAAATGGCCATGAGATCTGGATATAATTAATTTTTTTCAGGCTTCTGCACTACTGGACTAAGTTAAATACCCAAAGACAGGATCATGGTGTACAGCAAACAGATGTGACTTGGTGCTTTGCACAATATCTCGTAAATGTCTTCTCTTTAACTCTGCCACAGTATACTTTCCTTGCTTCCTTTTGTTGTCCCTGACCATGTGCAAGAATGGGAATACTTGCTGTGCTGTCAGAAAACCGAAGATTAAACCTTATACTGAAGAGTTTAAATGTCCTGCACGATTTCATTTATCAAATTAACACTCAACATCTGAAAACAAGTTATTTGTAACAGAAAATATATCGTAGGCATAGAGTTACTCTTACTGTAAAGTATTTGTAAAGCATTTTCTAAGTTGTTAACCACTATGTAGTTCTAGTTCGTAGTTCATACAACTGAGTCATTGATATAAAAAAGCATTAAATTTATTATTAAAGGTTTTACTTCTCTAGTGTATGATGACAGCCTTGTAGATGTTGGAAGGCATTCCCAAAAGCTATTTATACATTGTTAATGTGAAACCCGTGGAAAAGAAGACTGCTGATTGAAAGGATTTAACTCTTTCCAGATAGGACCTCTTACACTGTCATGTTTCTTTTTGATCCGCCCCTGATCCAATTACAAAAACCAGTTTCATGCTTTCAAAGAACTTTTGTCTGTTACCAAAGTAAGATATTTTTAAAGATTGTGCTTTTCTGTATTTGGACCCTGTGTTCTCCTGTTTAGGATTTTGTCAGCCCACAAATGTGTTCAGTAGCTCTGTGACCAGACTCAATCCTGTGAGCTGCTTCCCCAGTTATTAACGACAGCTGTACTGTCAGCAAGAGGAAACTCTTCCCTGCTAATGACTGGAACAGACATGACTCCAGGGTCATTGACAGCCTGATTTGTTTAATTTCCCCCTGGAAAGAAGCTGTACATGTTTGAGAGCAGGGCTTAATCTTATACAGTACATGCCACAGATACTTTTAATGATCTAAGCAGAACCTTAGCTACATTTGTCAGTTTCTGTAGCATTTCTCACTCCTGGAGGATGTTTGTATTATGTGGATGTGTAACCAATCATTTAATGGGGCAGAAGTGTTCTGAATTTGTTTTCTGTGTAGTGGTAATGTATGTTGATGTTTTTACTGTTTTCTTAAGGAACAGCTTCCTTACCTGAGTTTCCTGTGTGATAACACCACTTTTGTATTCTTATTGGCACGTGTGCTTTCTCTGTTTCTGATAGTTATGGCTTTAATGTGATATCAAAGCTATTCCTTTATTTTTTATTACTTAAATATAACCCATTTCCTGCTTGTCTTTAGCTGGGAATTCTCTTTGCTGTGTTTTTGAACCTTGGTTTCCTATCAAGTGTTGGGAGATGTATGTCAGCCCCAGTATTGAAGAAAAACTGGCAGAATCAAGTGGGATTAGACAATTAGTCCTTAACTGCCTTTAATGTAGATGAAAAATGTTGCTAATATTTTTTTTTCAATTTATTCTGCACTACATTAGGCCAACATCATACTGAAAAAAAAAACATTTTTAATGAGTCGTTTTAGTCTTATTTTCTTATTTTGACAGTTTAGTTTAGCCTTTCTTTCTGTCAGTAGGGTAGGTGAGTGATGCTTAGAAATCATGCTTTTTAGGTCATGTGACAGGGGGCTGTTCGGCCCCTCTCTTTCTCTTCTGGCTTGCTAGTGGTTTCACGATCCCCATTTTCAGCATACGCTTCTTTAAGCATCCCATGGAGTCTGCTTCAACTACATTGCTGGTTCTGAAATCTCTCAATCCACTGTGCAAAAACAAGGTCTCCAGTTTTCCTTCCTGAATGCCCCTATACTTAATTTCCTTACATCCCTGAGTCTTTGTAATGTTCCTGAGCTTAAAGTCTTATTTTTTTTTCTCATGAACAGGCAAACGGTTGTTGAAGGCACCCTGACCCACCCCTTTGCTCTCACTCTGTCTGGGGAAACTCTGTACTGGACAGACTGGCAGACACGGTCCATCCATGCCTGTAACAAGAACACAGGAGAGAGGAGAAGGGAAATACTGAATAGCATTTATTCTCCCATGGATATCCAGGTGCTTGGCCAAGAGAGACAGCCAAACAGTAAGTTTACTCTTCTTTGAATAAACCTAGTTTTCAGAAGCCTAGTTAAGATACCTATCTGCATCTGTAAATATGTAAATACAGACTTCATATGTATATATCTGTGTCTGATGTGTTTATACAGTATGTGTTTATGCACGCTATAAAATAATCTTTTGGCTATTTAAAATCTAAAGTTTTCCTTGATACTTTAGTACTAATTAAATGACCTTGCTTTTAAGATAAGTAAATTCTGGATGTTTAAATGGATTTTTGTTATGGAAGAGTGGAACGCATTTTCAAACCCACAATTTAGAAATTCACTGGAAGCTGTAGTGAGGGTGTTTTCACGTGGACCATGCAAGGTTTTTATAGCAGATGCACACTGGGTACACTGTTCACATCCCCACTCCTGTAAAGCAATATCTGAATAAAAACTGGTGAAAAATTGAACGAAGGCGACAAACCCTCCAGTGAATGCTCTGAACGGAAAATAGTTTGAACCCTTTTCTGTAGCCCTGAGCGCAAGGGTAATGATTACGTGCCATGTTGAGTCAGTGAGTGATACATTCCTATTCTTCTCTGTTTTGCTTGTTTTCTCATTAAGTTTATCTGGGTCTCAGGTGCCATCCCCAGGACATTCTGGGCTGTCAGCAGCTGGGACAAATTGTTTGTGGGGAATGATCATTGGAGGAAGTTCCTTTAAACACTGTTAATACTTAATGCTTTGAGATAGCTTATAAATCAAACCCGAAAGCCTCAATCCAAGTGCCTCTGTTAGTTTTAAGCCCATTTAGATATGTAGGTGAACATTTTGTGTAGTTTTTTTTTCTCAACACAGCAGAATTTCTTATAGATATTATGTTTAAGAAATGACTCCAAGGCTCAAACAGCATTCTTATTTTTAAGTTAAGAAACTATTTTTTATTTTAATTTAAAAAAACTTAGAGCAAAACAGAAGTAATGGCACAGAGATTTGTTTATTTTGCAATAATGGTTTCTAAAGTCGAAAAAGGGACTTGTGGATGAAAAACATCAAGTAGTCTTTTCTTTGCTGGAATGAAGAACAACATCATTTATAAAAACATGAATAGATAAAACAAATTTGGGGGGGATACATGTATTGTGAGACATTCTCCATTATGAAAATGCAGTAACAGGGATCTTTCTGTTTCAGTCCTGTAATGCAACTTGCTGATGGCCTACTACCTGGCACAGCTTGTAATTTCTGTTATGTTCTGCTTTGCCTTTTTTTCAATCAAATTTGAAACCCAACAGTCTCAGAGAAATAACTACTGGAAAAGGAAGCAGTTGCACTAATTTTTATAGTCACCTCCTTTTTGTCCGTGCACAAGCTGAAGGACAGGTTCCAACAGACATCATAAATCAGAACAAAAACAATACGACCTTGTTCACTCGGTTTAAACACTGCTGGCAATAGCATCTTGGGAGCTTTCCTTTACAGATAAATAAGATGTACATACAATTAAGAGAAGTTTGTTCCGTGTTCTTTTTCCCGCTTTTTTGGAAACCCTGTCAGAAGTCAAATGTAATGACAATCAGTCTGTCTTGGCACAGTGTAAATGTCAGTGTTGCCGTGTGTCGCTATCGCCATGGGAGAGTGGCACTGAGCCTCTTCCACAGGGGGGTCATGATTCCTCTCCACGTGCTTGTTGATATACTGTAGGGGCTAGTTAAATGTTTGAGTCAAAGATCAGCTGTCTTCAGGAGACTGTGAGAGTTCCACAGCAGAACAGTATGGGCCTCAGGTGAATAGAAGCTGGCAGTTAAGTTCTAGGCTTTCAAATACACTATGTGTACAACGTAAATACCCACACTGTGAGCCCTGATTTTAAGAGCCAACTCTTTAATTCTGACTAGAAATAATTGGTCTCCAAAGCTCTTTTTTTTCCTGCTCACATTCTTGAATGTATTTTAACTCAATTTCCGATGCTGTATTACATTGAAAAATGATTTTTTAAAAACTTTTTTCATACTTTGTTCACCAGAACCCACCTGCATCCAAAAAGTATCCTAAATGTTTCATCCCTTTACCCCTAGACACCTGGGGTCGTAACACCTACAGAGTAGGTAGATGTGCACCTTTAAAGATGCAGCAGAGCAAACGTTTGTTTTGTAGAAAATAATCCCTGGAAGACATTCTTTTAAGAGTTTCAAATACTATCTTGTTTTTGTGCTAATGCAATGTAGTAATAAAAAAGGTTTTTCTCATGTTTGATGTGTATTTTTGAATATTTCTGATTTGGGGAAGGAGGAATAAAAGTCACATGTTTTCCACATGCATGTAATGGAACTAGGCAATAAGCATCGTGATTTCTTGTTAGAACTGCCAGGTGATGAGGACATTTTACAATTAATTTTTATTTTTATTGGATCTATTTTCCTTTGAGCAGCCCAGAAAAGTTGTCAAAAAATTGCCAAAAAAAACAATACTGGGAAAGCTAACAGAAGCAAAAGGTATATTTTTAATTTCAAAAGACGCCATAACTTTCTACCCCCATTGGTGAGTCTTATTGAATGTGCTGCTTAAGTTGGCAAAGTTTCTGAACAAGTGGGAATGAAAAATGTGGCACATGAGGAAATGATAATACCTTATTGGCAGTCTCTCAAGTGCCTTCCATGTTCTTGGATCATTTTTTGTGTAGCTAAGCTCCTTTTTCAAGAATTCCTTTAAATCTGTCATGACTGAAGGTAAAAAAAGAACGATGTGCACATCATTCAAAAGAGAAAATAGACTGGTTTTATTTTCAAGCAAAGGACGTAATAAATCACTGTTTTCAAGTTTAATCTTCTCCAGCAACTCCGGTGCTTAGTATTTTCAGTTAAAATTAATTTAAAGACCATATCTTTAAGCCTGGTTAGCTGCAACTTGACTGGACTTAATAAAATTGCCTAAAAGCAGGGCTATTTCATCTCAATAGATACAGCGCAGGGAGTTCATGTATTTACAGACACCTGGATTTTAGTTTTGTTTGAATTTTGCATGATTTTTCCACATATCCTAGGACTTGATAAAATTATTTCTATCTCCATCGATGGGCCTTGGATGGAAAATTAAGAATATAAGTAATATTCTCTGTTCTTTCACCTGCAGTTCCTACCCCCTGCTTCCATAACAATGGAGGCTGTACTCACCTGTGTCTCCTGTCGCCAGAGGAGCCTTTCTACAGTTGTGCCTGTCCTACGGGTGTTCAACTCCAAGAAGACGGCAAAACCTGCAAACCAGGTATCAGTCGACCTGTCTGTGTCAGTCTGCGAATCTCTAAAAACGTTTATGGGAAAAGATTTGCACCACTCATGGGTTTGAGCATCTTCAAGAATAAAGCAATGGCACTGTTCGCAATGAAGTGAGTCTCAGAGTCACTTCATAAGTACTCAAGGAAGTTTGCAAAAGAGATTACGTTTTTCAGCACACCTAGCTTGTTTGCTACGTAGTAACTAATTCATCAGTGGATCTCATCATTCCTTGAATAAAGCACTGGTATCAAGGCTGGGTAGCTTGTTTCAGACACTTCCAGCTCTGTATGTGAAGTTGTGCCTTCGGTTTCCTGTTTTAATTGCATTTCTTAATTTCTCGCCATACTGCAAACAGGTTTCTTTTTTAAGTATAATTCACTTTTCAAGTGTCATGTCAGTTGCATGTGTTTGTCTGGCTTTTTAAAATTTCTTGGGACTCTAAAGGGGAAAGATGTTATATGAATCTTTCTTCTGGCAAAGTGATTTTGTCTTGATTCGCTTCTCAATTTCTGCTGCTTAAATTACTCAGAGATTTATTTGTTAAGTTGGATCTGGTTTTGCATCAAAAAATGTTTGCCAAAGGCACATGAAACTCTGCGTTTTCAGGTAGTTCTCAGAAAGTATGATGTTTAACTTCGATTAAAACTAAAAGAAAACAGAAAAGGTATGACAACTGACACAGACTTTCCTTCGCACATCACTTAACTTGACCTTATTTTTATTTTTGTCAGTTGAGTTGTTTCTTCATTTTGGCACATTGGTCTCTCACAAAACTTTTATATGTAGTCATAACCAAAAAGCCGTGAAAGAAATGGTTTAGTCTCTGACGGATGGCTGCTCTACAGTTCTTAATGCTATATTTATATAAATAAATTTATATAATCATCAAACTTTACAAGCAGCCACATTCCTTGCGTTTGCATTTACCTGGCTACTATGTTACAAATATGCATCCTTGCTCCATGAATGTTGAGTCTATGTATAGCACTACATAGTCAGCATTTCCCATCCTGACTTTGTTATTAATTAAAACATAATGGAATAACATGTGGTATATTGCTTATAATGACAGCAGCACAATGAAATTCACAAGAGTCTATCCTATGATGTCTTTGTTTTTCCTTGTTTGACTGTTGGTGCTGTTCTGACATTGAAAAGCCCTGTAAATGTGCAGCACTATTAAATGAGAGACGGATTAGGTCTGTTTACCATAAAAATAAAAAAATTCTGTCTCCCTTATTTGAAAGGATGATTGTACATATCTCGCATATCTCAGGTTCTGTTTGCTTTTGCTGTGCAGTGAAGGAAACCAGCTGGAAATAAACAGTTGTGCTGTAGTCTGCTGTTAAAGACTAGTTCAATGAGTGAAATTGAGGAGTACAGGAAATGGAAATTTGGGCATGCTTTATTAATGTGCTTATTAGAGTATACAAGAGTGTTTTGGGGCTAACTTGAACTTTTTGCACAGATTTGAACCATGAAACTCACTCTATAATCCTTTCAGATAGAAATGTAGTACTGTATTTAGTAGAGATGAGATTATGTCTATAGTAAGCATAAGTAACTTTATGTTGTAAGATTAGATGTCTTCTTTTTTTTTACAAATGAATGGATGTCACATTAAAAGCATCCAGATTAGGTTTCTGCAGTAATTATTATAGATAGATAGTAAGGGCAGATATTTCACCAACTCTAAAGCAAATAATTTATGCGGAAATAAAGATGTGATAATTAAGTGCTTTTGTCAGTACTGCAATGTACACACAATGGTACAAATGTGTCTTACGGTGGATTGCCAGGAGTCATTGCTGCTTCTTATCAAGATCTCATACTGGTGGTTTAAAACTGTTAAAAGTTAACAAAGTTTCTTCTACCTATATTCTGTAAGCACACAATCAGCCCATTGTCTGTCAGTTCATAAATATGCTTCTCTTCTCTCACTGCAAGTGTTGGTGAAATTCATGTCTAAATTTCCTATATGGGTCATTGAGGATTTGAATAAAAATAATACAACAGCTCTGTTTATTATAGAGCAGGGCCAGCCTTGGCCTGTAAATGGGTATAAATCAGCTCGTTTAAAGCTGCAAGAAGAACACAGCCTCACAAATTTTAAGTATTTATGGTGGCTGGAGAATGTGTTCGGAGCCTGTGAGGCAATGGAACTATTAGCAAAATGCTGGTGAATGCAGATTTTCCAGGATCCCAGGAGAGCATAAAACCACTTGTGAAAACAATGCCACAGTCTTTGGCTTTTCTTTTTACACACATGGTACTGCGGATGAGATGTTTATTTTGATAGGTGAAGGTCAGGCCTTAGAGGAGTCTGACCCCTCCTCAGGTCTACTAGTGAGTCAGAGGCACACCCGTTATCAAGGAAATCAGACCTAATCATGGCCAGGCACAGTTTATGTATTTTGTCAAAATGACTAAAACATGTTTTGCACAATGAAGCATGCTTGTCCAGCTTCCTACCAGCCATTTTTATCCATTTCTCATTGCGTTTATTTTTTGGGGAAAAAGCATTTTTCTTTTTGATGCAGACCACGTTAATACCTTATAAATGTGGTTCAGAAGCCACATTCTTGAAATACACATGTATCTGCTACACACAGTGATAACATTCCTGGCAAGGACATCTCTGGGATGTTAGAATCCTTTCTTAATTATTAGATGCATTTAAAGAAAGCTATTTCTGCGTAAATGTGTATATAGGTTTGTTTGAAAATGTAAGTCATACTTACAGGCCATCATAACAATTTACATTAAATTAAATTATTAAAAAATTAAAGTAAAATTCAAATATTTTCTCATTTCTGTATTTATACCACCAGGATTGCAAGGCAGGACTGTGACCTGTATTCGTTAATACTCTTCATTACTCTCCAAGTACAACTTGGAGAAATGGAGTTAATTTCTGTAGTGCAGGGGCTTTCTGGGTAGAAAATGGAGACATTCAGATGAGCTTCCATCTAAACTGAATTTAAAACAGTGTCTCATTGTATCGACCTGATTAGCTGACTGGGGAAAGGGACAGGGGCAAGGATTAGAACCTGCAGCATCAATAGTCGCCGCTTGTTTAGGTTGAGTGGGTAAATTGGGGCAGTTTTTGTCATTTTATAGACGTCTTGTCAATTACCCAATGTGGCGTGAGCCGAAGGCAAGATTGCAGCCGAGAGAGGAACTGTTTCTGTGCTGTCACTTCTGATCGGAGTTAATTTCACCAAAAGATTGCAGCTGACATTTTCGGCACTGAAGCGTGAATTGCTAGAATGAGATTGTTTTTTTTTTAAATAAAGGGTCTTCCACTTAATTGCCTCCACAGAGTACATTTTAGACTAAAAAAAATAAACAATAGAAATTTAACTGTCTCCCAGAAATCAATTGAAAACACAGGTTCACAAAAACACTGATTCGGTTTCTTACAGCAAAATGTTTAACTGAAGAGCAGTGTGCAAAATTATGTGTCCAGTCTGCAACTCTAGATCTGTGGCTCTTTTCTATTTCGGGGGAAAAAAAAAACTATAAAAATTTTGAATTTTACTGAAGGCGTTTTGCGCTCCTTTTGCAATGCTTCATCTGTATTTCTTATCTTGTTATTAGGAGCCCAGGAAGTGCTGCTTCTTGCTCGGCGGACTGATCTGCGCCGCATTTCTCTGGATTTGCCCGACTTCACTGATATTGTCCTGCAGATTAATGACATCCGGCATGCCATAGCCATTGACTATGACCCAGTGGAAGGTTATGTCTACTGGACCGACGACGAGGTCAAGGCCATCCGGCGTGCCCAGATCGATGGCAGCGGGGCTCAGACTCTCGTGACAACGGAGGTCAACCACCCCGATGGGATCGCGGTGGACTGGGTGGCTCGGAATCTCTACTGGACCGACACCGGCACCGACCGCATCGAAGTCACCCGGCTCAACGGCACGTCCCGCAGGATCCTGATCTCGGAAAACCTCGATGAGCCCCGGGCCATTGTACTCGACCCCATTCGAGGGTGTGTAGAATGAGCAGTCGCACATTTTCATCCATTCGCGTTGTGCTCACTTGCCTGGTTATTACCCTCTTTCAACACATCGTGTTTCAACGAAGTATTTTTCCGTTGTCATTAGATCAACTTTTCTTATAAGTTTTGAAAGGCCTGAACCAATTAATTTTCTTGCTAAACCAGTCTGTCGCTATATGGTGGAGCTCACTCTGTAATCTTAGGGCAGGCTCAGATCACAAGCATCTGACCTTCAGGTACATAGCATGTGCCATCCACATCACAGGTTCTTCAAAACAAATACCTGAAGATTATTTTGATACCCTTTGACAGTCAACACAAAGGTAATGTTTGATGTATTGAGGTGCTTGCCTTTGTTTGCAATCATAAGGAACCAAATGGCATTTTGCTTGTGCAGGTATCATACTTGGAGAAACTGGTGCTCCTGCTGTTTATCGGAAACACCATGTGAAGATGTTACTCTGCACTTTCTGTACAAACCTGTAGAGACTGAAATCACTTCTTGTGAATTTTCAGCATTGAACTAAATTGTGTCACAAACAGAGCTTTTAATTCCGATAAAGAATAAATAATTGTTTTGTAGTTTGGTTTGTATTTTGTACCATAAGCTCAGGAGATGGCTGTAGCCCGGGGCAGAATGCCCGATAATGTGTTTTAATTTTTGTCTGTGTTGCAGCTACATGTATTGGACTGACTGGGGGGAAAAACCGAAGATCGAACGTGCCAACTTGGACGGAAGCGATCGCGTTATCCTTCTGAACACTTCCCTGGGCTGGCCGAACGGGTTGGCGATTGACTACGCGGCGGGCAAGCTGTACTGGGGCGATGCCAAAACAGACAGAATCGAGGTATTTAAATAAAAACGTGGAGTTGCAGGAATTTACTGTCGCGTTGCAGGGATTGTCTCGGCTTGCCTTCTTCGTTCATCGGGACTCTCTGCCAGTTGTTTGGGTGAGCTCACCAAGCGGTTGTTAAAGGAAGCAATGCGCTGCTGTTGCAGGACATGCAGTTTGACAATTTTGCCCAACCACCTTCTGTTGGACACTGGCCACACACTACCAGATCACTAAATTCCAGTTCTCCACGTAACGCTGGGGTTGGAACCTCCGAGACTACCACACCACAAAATTGAACGTTTCCCCTGCTCCAAGCTTGTGCCACGTCCCGCAGGCTCTCTCATTGTACTTATTGTACTTGTTGTCTTGCTACCAGCAGAGGTTTGCTTCTTAATTAGGCGTGCTTTCAGGTAGCGTTGTGTTCTTTATTGGAGACCTACACAAACATGTCTTGCCTTAGCTGAGAGGGTGCCTGAGAATATTCAGAGCTGCGAATAAGTGTTCGCACGAGGCTTGTTCATTTTTTTACCACGTTAATGTGACAAAAACTTTTTATTTATGTGACTGTATAAAATACATCAAGTTGATTTGAGAAAACCATACGGTGCGGGCCTGCTTTCTGAAATAGCAGGGACGAGTGCTTCAATTCACTTCTGTTCTGATTCTACAGACTAGCGGTGTTATACATGAGGTTTAGAAAAATCTTTTGTCTCGTCAAGCAGGGTGTTTAATTGGCCATGTTCACACACAATAAACTACTTTACTGGAGAATATTAGCAATTATAAAGAATGCTATGAAGTACTTAGCCTAGTGACTCACTCTGGCTGTAAGAACCTTCATTTTTAGACTGTGTTCTCTCTAGAACGTTTGTCGTTTTGTATGCACTCTTTGTTTTGTTCTCTTCAAAATTAACATTTTATTTCTTTTTGGAACACTGTTTACTTCCTTAGGATAGGGGTGGACAGCCTTAGCTGTACTAGCTAGGCTTTCAATGACTTCATTGCATATTTCCTTAATTAGTATAAAGTTGCATGTTATTGCCATTTTGCTCAGTGACTGTTTAAAAAGTACCTATAAAACCATCGTACTGTGGCTCTCCAGGACTGCCTCTAAAGATCCTGTCACAAGGAATGTAGAGGCTTCTGGTTTCCACTCAAACTCCAGGCCTTCATTTCCTAATTGAACTAGCTATATGCAGTTTAATCTCATCCCACATCAGAAACACATATTGTCACCTGCTCTCTCAAAACAGATCTCTTAGAGGCTATTTCTCTAGTTGACTTGCTTGGCTCTGGTATATTTTACTTAGCAAAATCCTCATAATTACATTACATATCACCGTAATATTAATACTGATATACAGGTGAATATAGAAAAATTACATTATCTTATTTTGACCAACAGTAGATTATACTAGAGCTAATTATTGAAGGCTGTGGCTTATTTATAAAGCCATTGGTTAGAAACTGGCAGTAAAAAACACAATTGATCTCAACAGCCAGGTTTTAGGATAAGGGGTTACCGGGTTAACATAACCGGGTAGATCTGGGAGATCTGAAAAAAACAGTCAAACTTAGTTTAGATTCCAAATTAATGGTGCTGTCTTATTGTGTATGTGCATATACTTCATGGTTTAAAGGTTGTGTAATGGAAACTACTTGCACAAACAGGTTTGCGCATTTCTGAATGCCTTGACAGTCGTATTTCACTCAGTCATGTGCTCCACAGGGTCTATTGTATAAACAGAAGATAATGATGTTTGCCAGAAACCCATCTTAGTAATTTGTTTAACCCTTATTGCACAGTCCCATAAAGGCAAACAGAACACTGCAGGAAGATCTCTTGTGTTGTACAATATTTTTTTTACAACATTTTTGTCTTTTTGAATTGCAGTCCTTTTCAAGGCAAATTCCTGGTAACACAAGTTGTTAATGATAATATTAATTCTCACTGTAGAGTAATGAGGGTAATGGGTAAAACATTTCATTGTGTGCGTGGTTTATTTTTCTTAAAAGACAATAGAAGAAAGGCCTCTTTCTTGTCACTTGTTGCTCTTATATTTGTGAAAACACACCATGTAACACACCATTTTATTTTATTTGTACAAAACAACCAACTCTCTCTCATCTCAAAAGTTGTCATTCAGTCACAGCAAGCCTGAGACTGAATCATAAAAGCTTGTTATTGATTTATCCTCAACTGGGAGGAAAAAAAAAACAGTTTCTCAATGTTTCCGGCAAGGTTAATAGATTTGTCTGTCAGCAAAAATCTAGAGGAAGGTGGTGTAGCTGCACTATAGCTGAATGTGTAATGGTATGTTGATTAGATGTACATTTTCACAGGGTGTATGGGGTTTCATGTGGGGAGACCAGCAGTTATTCTTTCCTTACCAAGTGCTTCCCATCTGCATGTTCAGCTGTTGCACAAAGGAGCCAGTCACTTCAGAAAGCGTTTACACACTGAAGGAGCCATTTGGCAGGGCCTGTCAAGAGGTGCATGACAGCAGTCTACAGGGCTTACCCCTGGCTCCTGGCACCCCACGGGAGCATTGTTCCCAGCTTCTAAAAACATTAACTGGAGGAGGGGGGGACAGAGCAGAGGAGCTGCCTGAAGCCTGTTTAAAACATATCTCACAGCGAAGGTTTGACTTGCAGAAGCACTGCCGAAATGAGGAAGGGGAGGAATGTGTGTGTGTGTGTGTGTTGGAGGGGTGGGGGGCAGTGGAAAGTGTTGATTTTCATTAATGGAAGCAGGCATGCAGAGCTCTGTGAATGAGATGAGAGTGAAAGGGATTAGGGTGCCCCCGTGGAGACATTGAACTCAAGAAGAGGCCAGTTGCATCCACGTGCAGTTTGCTCCACTCTTTTCGTTCCCCCTTCTCTTTCGCGATAGTATTCTGGAGGTGTTCTCGGTTGATTCAATTAGAGATGCAGGCAGGAAGAATATGTTGATTTGGGGTTTTTTTCTCTGTCCGAAGCAGTTTTTTTTTCCAGGGAGAGCACTTCTGAAAGTATGACAGTATGTTATAGTGCCCTACAGAAAAAAAAAGTGTCCCAAACCCAAATTTTGCTCACTTTGACAGGCTTGGATATGAGAATTTTTTTACCTTGGTGTTAGAGTGAGCTAAGAGGAATTCTTAAACTGGAGTTTTTTGTTTTTTTTTGTATGTAAATAATAATGTGAATAATGAATATAAAATAACAACTTTTTAAATAACTTAGTAAGTACTATATTAATGAAAACTAAACAATTATAAGTATTATAATTTCTGAATATTGCCTTAAAAAACTATCAGGCATTTGTGATTTCAAACATAGCAGTAGTTTTGTCACTTTTGTCCTTTTAATTGATGATGTTAGGTCTTATTATAGTGTTAGGATTATAAAGCTTACCTTGTCTGGAGAAATAACGCTGGTCAGATTATTTTTCAAAGCAAATGTGCCAGTGTTTTTCTCTCCTTTCTTTTCTTGCCTGTGCGTGTGAGAAAGTTTATAACTGTAGAAAGATGGTTTCTATGGGCCTTTTTGAAGAGTGGAGAGACAGCTCCACAGTTGTAGTCACCAGAAAAAGGGGCCCTTCTTTCACACTGCGATTGACCAATGGGGTCTGGTGGGAAAGGCAGCCCTCTTTTTCTACACTGGAGGTGACCCTTGGTATTGAGCAACAATGAAGACATAATGGGGTCCTGGTTAGTCCTTGCTGGAACCCCACAGCCAGATGCACACTTCAGTGACTGGGGTGGTTTCAGCTCCAGAAACAGCTGACAAGCGTTTTCTGTTTGCTTTCTTTCAGAAGGGTTCTTAAAAGTCACCTAATGGAACTCATCCTTTCTTCTGGAAATCCACTTTAAACTGAAAGAAAGAAAGCGCTTGAAGTGCTAATGGGCAGAAATCCCGACATTTTAAAGCCATTAGTAATTTCTCATTAAAGTTTTTACATAATGAGCTTTTTCTTTTGCATTTTCCCCTTTCTTTTTGTCATGAAACGAACCAAGGCCATTTCTTTTCCTGACGGGGAAAAAAGCACATTTACATGTTTCTGTTTACCATTTCTTTTTTTTCTTTTTTGGTGCCAGACTTTTTTAGAGATGAAATAAACATCAGGTTTTGAATGAAAGGTTCTGAAAGTGCCTTCTGGCATTTGGAATGTGCCTGTTCACTGCCTGAATGGTTATAAATAGAAGTCTGGAAGCTTTGTAGCCCTCCTCCCAGTCTTTTTGTAAAGCCTTCCCTGTGTAAGTGACAGCAGATTTTCTGAAAAGAACGTTTTTCGTTGTTGCAAACTGAATTACCTCAAGACCCCCCCCCCCCCCACCATCCACACACACACTTTCCTCATAGCCTGTGATCTGACATTTCTCTAAATGTGTGCCCTTAGACATTCGGATTTTTCTGCCAGCACTTAGTAGTTTTTTGTGCTTTTGTGGTGAGCTACCAAAAACTGCCTTAAAAAGGGTTTAGTTTGAAATGCTGAATGTGGGGCTGCAGCCTTCATCCCTTTACATTTGCTAGTGAAAGCTTGGTTTTGAACCACTTCCAAGAATTGTCTCCTTTCATCTCTGGTTCCGTACTTCTGAAAGAAGACTAAATTATTGGCACTCAGGTTTTGAGATTTTCTTAAACAGTATGGGAATTGTGAGCCTTTTCCCTTTTCTTTCAGAGTTCAGATTCTCGTTTTCCAAAACCCCTTTGATGTCACCGGCACACCACCTTTCTTTAATGTGGAGATGCCCTAGATGATTCATTTGACTGGTGTGCTGTTTGTAATGTGGAAAATCCTCTTTTGTCACACAGTTATGCAGATCGACGATTCTGTAGTGTTTTGGTCCCTGTGATTCTAAGACGTGTACATTTGCGGAACTTCATAATTGTATATGTGAGTCTACATAACAGAACATAGAGCATAAGACATGTTGTTTCTTTGAAAAATCATTGCAGAAATTGTTCAGGACCATCTGGTATTTAATATGACTAAGTTTTTTTTACTAGTAGTTTCTGTAGATCCAAAAAGC